ATATTTATTGCTCTATACTACACACACATATATATATATATATCTATATCTATAATTATATATATATATTTATATTTATATGCATACGTATGTATATGTATGCATAAATATATATACGTCTATGTATATATGTATATATATATATATATATTAATATATATATATGTGCACATTCTATACATTCATATATATATTTATATATATATATATAAATCTACATATATACATATATAGTATATAATATAAATACATACATATATATAAAGTACATTGTACTATATATATGTATATATATAGATATATACATATATATATATATATATATATATATATGAAAGATTGTAATTATGGACTGATTTTCGAGAAAAAAATCATACCTCGATGGTCCCAATCGCCGAGCTTACCATATGTTACGGCGATGTACTCGACCAAGCTGTCCATATCAAAATGTTTGGTCAAAGTGCCAGGTAAATCCGCATCGGATGCTGCGTTGATCTATTTCATTGTGTTGAATATTTTTCTGCTGTCCTTGCTTGCTTCGATCTCGACAACCTCCTCGAACTCATCCCCGTTGTAGCTAGGATCTGTACTTTCTTTAAGTCTATCTTCGTAGTCAAAGTCGTAGAACTCTGCTTTGTAGATTCATAAATCTCCTGAGCCGTCTTTATATCTGGTTTCTATCCAGTCCTCATTCCCTTTCTCAATATTCGTATAGATACCCATATCCTCTATGTCTACATTGCCGGACTCAACCTTAAGCTGCACCTGTAATTTCAAAGAGAACATGAAGATAAAGAATATAGTTCATTAAGTTCAAATCTACTATATCTTGGGGGGGTATGTCTAATATCGGATACAGGGTAGATGCTCTTACCTCTAAGTGTGTAAAGTGAGTCCTGAACGTTTCCCAGATGCTGAGATCCATCTTTTTGAATGTATCAAAGACTACTTTCGATCTCAGGTGACTCTTATCGCCCGAATCCTTCTTAAGCAATAGGCGATCCAATCCTCTCCAGGTTTGGGTTTTATCATCGAACTTAATCGTGTACGATTTAATATCCGCATATCGACTTTAGAAAAAGATGGACAAGATAACACAACAGAGACGTAGATCACATCTTGTCACACTTAAACTGTTATAGTTACCTCTGTTTGACCATGCAGTTTCTCGTGCCGCCATCAACATCGTCAATGATGTTCACCTTGCACGGGATCTTAACTTTTACATCATCCAAAGGATTTGTATCGTTTTGTAAGTCCTCCCATGTGAACTTCGAGCCCTCTGGCTTGTAGTCGCAGAATAATTCTATCTGTGTCACCGAAGTGGGAGCAGGGTCGTTGTCGTACTGATCAGTGGCATAACGCGAAACATGGCTGGGATGATAAATATATAATTTCTTTCTAACTTTTCACTAGTTTTTAATAAAATGTGTGGGAGCTTAAGTCCTTATCCGCTTATCCGTGTATTTAAGTAATCGTATAAACTATCAGGCACCAGCATTTAATTAAAATGCATCATATAAATACAAGGAGACGGAAAGCGGAAGAACTACTTTCAACCGTTTACAACCATGTGTGCCCGCAGAGACGCAGACCGCACACTCGCACAGCGCACGGCCGCACACTTTGTGCACAGTACATGTAGTCCATACATAGTGATATTGCACACAAAAAATGGATGACAGAAAGTTGAAAACCAAAGATTACTCTGAAAGACTTTTTTATTTTGAACCGTTCAGTTTATTGGCTTTAAATACTCATAGATCCAGTCTCAAAGACTCATAGAGTCACGGGGGAAGAAGCCGAAATGGGGCGGCGGCCCAGAGAGGCAGAGACTCAGTTTCACTCTTATCTCTCATCAAGTCATCATGTCTGACAATTTCAGTGTTTCACACTGATGTGAATGTCACAACCAGTGATGTAAATATTTGATTTTTTTTAAAAACAAAATGTTAAGCAGACCATTTGTATTGATTATTGTGGCTTATGCTGGCTTGACGGAGAGTCCAGATTCCAGAATCTATGTGGTATCAGATAGCCGATAGACGGAGTACACCGAGTCACCGATATTCTAAATACAATACCAGACCTAATACATAGGCAATATTACTACCTTACCACTCCAGCAGTCGAGCTCCAGTCTCCAGAGAGCGAAAGCCGAGAGGTGCTTGATCATTGCTTATATAGAATACTAGTACTTTAGGTTGACAACTTGCCACTTATTATAATTATGAATACTTTGTGAAAGAGTTGTTCCAGTACTTGGTACTAACTACTGAGACAAATATTGCTATACCCGGGATTGTCAATCAGCGTGATGGACCGCTCCTGGCAATTTTTCCGACGAAGCGGGAAGGTCATATACAGGCACAGATATTGTTATTATGCCGTTCTCTCTTGAACTGTTCAGTTTGGGAGGCTAAGAGATATGGTTAATAGAGTACTCGATCGTTTGCATCGAGTTGAGGCGTTTCTAGAATCAGGCACGTCAAAACCACGAACATCTCTGCACAGAGTAATCTAGAATAAAATCGAATCTTGCCGTCGGCCTATACCAATTTGACCTCTAAAGTGGTATTGTATACAATGTGCGAGGTTTCGACTAGACGTTTCTTCCACTCAAATGAATCATGAGGGAGCGATCGCGTATACCACCATATCCGAACAGATCCAACGCGTGCGCAGCCCATGTGAGGCATCCTATCATCTCATGCTGAAGCCGATCAAGATAATCTTGGATTTATATATGTCCGGTATATAAGATCGAGCGCGGTGTAGAATTCGGCAAACATATTAGCAAAGTACACTTGTGCACACAGCTGTCGATATTGATAAGAGGTATTCTTGGTGATCTAGAATATTTTCCTGAGCAACAGTGTGAAATGTAGAGTTGCATTGGGTGGGATGTCTGGCTTGCTCCCTCTCTTTCCATAGCCGAGACGGGAGCCAACCACCAGTGATCGCGTGCCGCCTACTCGCATACCCACCACCCCTCTATCCCAACCCTTGATTACGTCACCCGCCCCGACGTGAAATTCAAAGTTTTTGCTTTTATCAAACTGTGTGCCATCGTCTAGCGTGCCTATATAGTCAACCGCTACGGTATCGCCCACGCCCACGGGCCCTTCTCCATTTCCGATGGTCAAATCCTCGATCACGAGTTCGTTTTCTTTGGAAATTGGCTTTGCCACCTGATCTATCTTATCCCCGATCACCAGGAAACTCTGCCCTATCTGATTCAATGCCTTCGTACTCACCCCTTTCTTCAGTGCCACTTTGATCGCGTTGGCATTGTTGTAACTGAACTCGGATTTTAGATACCTTGTTATGAACTGCCTCGAACTCCCGGTAGGGGAATTGTTGGCCCGTATCGCCGCTTTGATCTTATCGAGGACATTCTTTGGGACTGCCATGATGGGTAAGTATATATCAAAACTTTATTGGGAGGTTGACTGAAGCTGTGACCTATATGGTGTATGAAGCCTATATACCGCATTGGTGAAGGGTTTGTTTATAAATATTTTGGTAAATATAGTACATAACGTGGTACATATTTAGATGACACGATGCACGGTTGTACACATATGGTTTTTTGAAATAACTTTTAGCGGCAAATTCAAATTTCGAATACATAATGGAGAAAGCATTTAGAAACACCGAAACAGCTAAAGATTTCACAGGCCCACTCTCTACTAGCCTACTGCATATTTAGTAGAGAGCGCACGGCTACACACAAATAAATATAAAATACAAGTGTAGAAAATATCAAGAAGTATACCATCGGATTCACTCGTATAGAGGCAAACTCTGTTTGTATACGGGTCACATTTAGTTATACACTATGGGTCGAAAGTCTGGATCCACCAAAGGTGGCAAGAACATCAATCCCGCGGACGCGCACAGAAAAGCGCAGCGTAAGAGGGAACTGAAGAAGAACAAGAAGGTCAAGGAATTGGTACGCGAGAGTGTGCTTAAAGGCAAAAATGCATACGAAATGGCTAAACATGGTGACATACTCGAACGCCAGATCAAGGCCGCCGAGGAGTCCGACAACAGTGGCATGCTGTTATCCTTGAATGAGAAAAAACGCAAGAATGACGAGTCCCTGCAGAGGGTTCTGGCGCGTATGCTTGTAGACACTCCGGCAGAACATGAGAAGTATATGAACTGGGCCGTGAGTGAAGACCGCAAGGAAAACGCCCGAAATGCGAAGGTCAATGAGAATCTGGGGGAGCTAGAGCAGGAGCTGATCAAGCGATCACAGGGGGCATATGCACACGCCAATGTTAGTGCAAACGCGCACACAGCCGTCAGGAGCGACAGTGACAGAGATAGTGACAGCGAGGATGGGCATGGAGATGAGATGGATGGAGACCGATACACATTCGATGACGATGTGGAGTCCATAGCCCTGCCCGATGATCCCACCACTGGGCAATCACCGACACACACACAGACACACATACAAACACATGGTATCGCAGGCACTAGGGTACCCCCCGGAGGACCACCCCCGCCTCCCACACACCCACATCCTAACCCACAGACACGCATACTATCACCAGGTGTCACACTACCTGGCCCCCCCCCAGGAGCGCCTGGAGGACCACCACCAGGGGTTATGGGTATGTTGGCGCCCGGTTCTATTTATAGAGGGCCTCCGCCCAGTATGATGGGACCCCCACCAAACATGGGAGGCTCAGTAGGTATGGGCGGTCCCAAAGGACCTCCCCCGGGTGCACCCCCAGGACCGCCTAGGGGACCGCCCCCGGGACCGCCTAGGGGACCGCCCCCGGGACCGCCTAGGGGACCGCCCCCGGGACCGCCTAGGGGACCGCCCCCGGGACCTCCTGGTAGCATGTTAGTAAGGCCAGGCCCACCTGGTCTAAACAGACCCGGTCCGCCTATGATACCACGACCATCCCCAGGGCTACCTACACACACACAGGCTCAAAGTGACGCACAATTGGAAGCCCAGGCGCAAGCTCAGGCGCAGACGTCACGAGCACCGACAAGTGAAAAGGAAAAGGAAGACGAGACGAAAGCTGAGGTGGGCGAGGGAGAAGGTGAGCAGGCGGAGACTGAGACCAAACCAAAGAGTGCGACAATTAGGTAAGTGAACGTTAATGAGCTAGTTTCATACACATGTCTTACTTGGGTACTGTAAGTTATAGATATCTGTGCAGGTATAGTGTTTCATTGTATAGGGCATAATTGTATCTATGTGTAGATATATTCACAATCCGTCTGCATGTTATATATATATATATATGTATATATATACCTATATATAAATATATATATATATATATATATAGACTATTATTATATATATATATATATATGTGTGTGTGTGTGTGTTTTCTATTTCTATTTATGTATATATATATATGCATACATATATTACTATATTATTATATTTATCTCTATTTATATGTATATGTGTGTGTGTGTGTACCTTTATATTCATATTCATATTCATATTCGTGTTATTAAATCTTTTGGTGGTCATTGCGCTTGGATTATGGTTATGTAGGGTCTTTTGCGCAACTCTGCTTGCACACGAGTATTACTTGTTTCTGGAGCTCAATGCAACCACGTTCGCGTGCGATTCAACGAAAAGCTCTGTGTAAATTTTATGGGTATTTACTTGAAAGTGTTGTTCTTGTCTGTGTCTTTTATGTTTATGCTAAGGCTCCCACACTTTTTTAAATCTCTTGTTCCTACCCTTGAACTAGCGTAGTCTCGACTATGCCATATCTTCATTAATTCACTATTCACAAATCCGCTATCATTCCTGTACTTTTTAAAGTGCGGCACCACAAGTGCGAAATTTCAAGGCTGAGAACATTCAGATGATCCCCAGTTCTTTGAGGATACGGAGACAAGCCCTGGCCGCTGGAGGTGTGTCCACTATACATTCGGTCTTGGTTATTATTAACATCTATCGTACACACTAGATTGGTCTTAACTCGTTGTTTTGAAAATACTCGCGAGTAGCACACCGCTGTGCCTCGTTTGAATCGTGAGATGTCGCAATTGTCAAGTACAATTTTTAGTTCATTGTACAGATAGTCCAACGCTCTACTCCTTTGAGGTGGCCGAACTTGGAACTCCCTGCGTAGGAGTTTAGCACAGCTTGTCCCGTGCCAGTCACGTATCGCAATAATATAGTCATCACTATGCCTTTTTCTTGTGGGTTAGTTGACTATCGGCGTTGGCATGTACTAGTTGCCATATATATATATATATATATATATATTATATATGTGTGTGTGTGTGTGCGTGTAAATATGTATGTATGTATGTATGTATTGTATGTAGGTATGTATAAATTCATGGATGAATGTATGTATATATGTATATATGTTTGTATATATATATATATATTGTATATGTATATGTATATGTATGTATATATATGTGTGTGTGTGTATGTATGTATGCCTATTATCCTCAAGCTTCATGCTGTAAAATAAATAGATCACACTTCAACTTTTTGTACGATTTCAAGTACGGTACTCGTTTTTTACAATAGCTCTCTCTACCGTAGTATTCACACACAGTCATTATTAGCCGGCTAAGATATTCTTTCTATCTTCGCAGCCAAGAAATCCGGTGCCAAACCCATGGCGCAGGTGCCGCGATCAGTGATCCACAAGAAGGTGGCCACCACCTCACGGCCAGTTGGCAAACCCGCAATTCGTAGGCCTATTGTGAATGCCGCCCCAACCGCAGGGCAGTACAAACCAGGCATAAGAACAGGACTACCAGGCAAAGGCTTGGGCGCTGGGGCTAGAAGCCAACAGACGTTAAGTACGGCTGAGAATAAGACTGAGGTGCAGGATAAAGACGACGCGTATAGTTCGTTCATGGCCGAGATGCAAGGGTTACTGTAGTCCTGTAGTCGTGTGGGTGCGCTAGAAAGGTCATTATAGAATTCTGCTGAAGATTCGGTTTGGCTATGACGAAGATTCGGTTTGGCTATGACGAAGATTCAGCTTTTGTGGGTGGAAAAGACGGGTTGAGAGAGCCACTACCTGCGTACGTTCTTCCGTTTGAAGCGTACGTTCCAGATAAGCGGAAAATTATAGGGCAACTGGAGTATGATTGAGGGCTTATTGAATGCCATGGTTCGAATGGCCTGACTTTCCAATTTAGGATTGTTAACGTATATCAAACGCAGGAGCCAGTGTCTGTGGCACATTTGTTATAGACCCCTGCCACTTCAAAGTTGACATGTCACACCTCCCTTAAAGTTGTGAGGGTTGCTTGCTCCTTCTCCACAGTTGCCTGGCTTTCGCGCCTGGGAATGGGATAGATAGCCCACCTGGTAGGGCCAATCCAATGATACGTAAAAAGCACTCTTGCTGCTGAGTGTGTTAAGGACAATGGTATACATCTCGAAGTGACGGAGGTGATTTAATGTCTCGTCTATGGCGTCTACTTCGCCTGCCGCCAAACAGATGGGGGTTTCTCGATACCATAGTCGTGGCGGTTGTAGTATTGTATATTAATCGAGCTCGCTACTAGTAGCATGGCTGAGTGCCAACGGTGCGTTATGTGAAGCTGTGAAACAAGTGAGCGTAACAGCGCTGACAGTGGCGCATGCACGCCTGCAGGAAGTTACAGTCGCCAAAGGCTTTAACATCCATTTTGTAAATGAGTTATTCGAAATATATCTAGCTCTAACATAGTCGGACTATGCATCCTTGGTAGAGAGGGTTGCTGCTGAGACGTGAATTGTCATTATGTTGAATGTTATAAGCCGCTCAAAAACCATGTCGTCACTATAATTGGTTCTCGTTTCTGAACGTCAAGATCACAGACCACAAAATCAAGTACGTAAATGAAAATGTCATTGCATATACTTTTATAGGGTGCGAAGGTTGCCCCGCATATATTGAGATGAATATGCACCTGATGTTGAACGCATAGCACACGATTCTATGTGGGACTATGACGATGTTTGCATGCGGTCAAGGAGTTGAACTCTCCGATATATATTTATGATTATGTAGTAGACACAAACACTACGTCTTGAACTACCAGTATCACATGAATTGTTCCGTGAGATTATCGCTCGAGTTTACCGACGGGAAGCCGCACCTGGTCGAGCTCAAATATAGGGGTTGTAATATATTATACGTCTCTGAGGGCTCCAGGCTATATTTCATCTGGGAACTGGATAAGATACTTTCAACAATAACATGATACGACGAGTATTCGATTTCCTTCACTTTGGTTTTCCTGGAACAAATTCGAAAGTTAGAGGTCGAAATGCTGGTTTTGATCGCAAATGTCAGCTTGAGGGTTTCATTGTGTACAATCGACTAGTGAGGAATATTAAACAGCGCACCATCCCATACAAGTCTATAGTGACTGTAGTTGTCGGATTGCCTGTAGTATGGTAGTGGCAGGGATACAAACGGTAGTATGATGCCTACCAAGCAATTCGAAAAGGTTTCTGGTGAGCGAGATGAGAGATTGTATATATTTGTAATCATAATTTGGGGTGCTTTTGTTGTTAGCATAGAATCATCGACATACGGTACATATGTAGACATATAATTGCTACGACCCTCTGGAAGAGCTGGAGCTGTGTTTCGATTTGAGTGTCGTCAATTGTGCACGAATGTGCTACATTTTGTGCCTGTACAACATGAATGTCATAGGACATCTCAGATTGGGCGGGGTAGCGTAAAACTGATATTTGTCGCTCCAAGCCTCTAATTGTCCATTGTTCATACTTAGCATTTGGGGGGGGGGGTTTGTTTTTACAAATTGAATCCCCTCAAAAAATAGCACTAAATAAAATACAACTCGCACTCGCAGTCACTGACTCACTGACCGACTTCGCTGCGGGTAGCAAAAACCCGAAAATTGGAATTCGGCTCCAAAACCATTGCCAAACTTTTGAGCAATTGGTGAGTGCTCAATTATGAAATATCACCGAAACTAACAGAGTACATAAATACATACCATATCCCCTCTTCCGTCTCCACATACCCCGGTACAGATCTGAAAGCAAATCAGGATCATCCCAATTCAATATTCCTTATCGAGAGCTATTTGGCTTCGAGGGATGTGTTTTTTTTTTTGAATGTAGTAGTTGGAGTTCCATTCGGAAAACAACAACATATCATATATAAATAGATCATTGGGTGTATTAGATGAACAGCAGGGCTATACCTGTGCATGCACCACAGTCACAGACCCACAGGGACCAACAATCGATAATCGATCGCAAGTATACAAGAGTATACACGCACACGCGCTTAGCAAGTAGCACGTACACAGTAACATTGTTGTTCTAGAAGCGCCATGAGCAGCGGTCGTTATGCACGCGATAGGTTCGCCACTGGGGGTAGCAGTGGTGGTCAAGGGGGCAGCGCTGCTGCTGAAGAGAAGAAGCGGCTGGATGAGAAACACTCGCGCATTCTCAAGAAACTCATGAATGAGGAGGCCAATCGATACTGTGCCGACTGTGGGGCTAAAGGTGTGTTACTGTTGCACCGCAGGAGATGTAGATGTAGATGTATGTGTATGTGCTGCAAGCTTGACTGACAAACAGCCAGAGTTATCTCGAGTAGTCGTTGGCGGGATATGGAATCATATGCAAGCTAACACGCTCCTCCGTTATTGATATACTTAGTATGCGTTGTCAGGAGATGCCATCGTGTATATAGTTGATAGAGAACTCATCCTACCCTGGAGCTTATATATATATATATATATGTGTGTGTGTGTGTGTGTGTAGTAT